GTGACAGTAAATGTTTCTTTTTTTCATCAGAACCAGCCAGTAATCATATGGAAATAGAATAGCAAGAGAGAAAAGATATACAAATTTTGAGAAATTCTTAATTATTCTTACGGATGAAAGTACAACCGGAAACAGAGAATACTGTCAAAAAATGTCAAGATACTCCAATGCCCCCAGAGGGTCTGATCCCACCAGAGGGCCCCATTTAAGACAGCAGCATCATGCCGTCTTACTTGGCCAAGGGTCAAATATCCAGAGCACTCCCAATTTCAGAACTCCTTGCTGAGCAACACCAACAACTAATCAATGCCCAAGACCCAAATCCTCCATGCTGCAAACACTGGAGCAAGATAAAAACCCAGACAGTCAAAGCTATCCAGCCAGAGTGACCTTTCCAAACCACAGGGTGGCTCTAAGAAAAACGAGAAGGTAATGCAACATAAAAATACCACTAGACCCATCACACATACGTAAAGCCCAAACCCATGTCGTCTTGGCTATTGGGACCCCTAATCTTCACCATCAGAGTTGTTAAATTTTATTATCTGAAAGTAAGAAAATGTCTGTGAATTCATTAAAAAGTATATTTATCAATGAAAACCCAAACTAAATGAATCCCATATAACACTGCCAGGGCATTAATGGGAAAATCAACTGTACTTAAATAGTTTAACTTCAAACAAAAATGTTCTGTTTTAATATTTCATTATTCATTTTCACTCAAAATATGCATCACCTTCCAACAAATACCAGGCATGATCTTTCTGAAACACCTCTCCAATAATAGGATCTCCTTACAGCAAGACAATTCCCTGCTTAACTAATCTTTATTTGTAACTTAGAATATTAAATGTGCTTTTTATTGGACTCTGGATTTCAAACCATGCTAAGAATAGTAGGAAAATTCTATTATCTTCCTGTTTCTGCAAATGTTGGAACTAGAATAGCTTACTGGCAGGGCCCTTAACAACCAGCTAATTACATCTATTCAGTATTAAGGCCCGTTGCATGTGTATAAATGCCATACAATATATTACGTTAAGCTACACACCCTCTTTCCTATATATTACGTTTAGCTACACACCCTCCTTCCTTTTATTTTCCCTTTCCACTACTACACTCCATGGGTATCTGCAGGATGGCCCAACATGTCGTCATATGTAAGAATAAAAGCTCTCTGGTTCATAAATGCTCGTAATGTTGTGTGTAATGGCCTGTAACTGTAAACCTAGTCCTTCTTTTAAGCACTCTACAAAAATAAAGTGGCTATATCAGTTTCACAGGAGATCTAATCATAGTGAGTGTGTAACAGCTCTGCCATCCAACCACGAAGCAGAGAGCTTTCCCATCAGAGGCGAGCAGTTGAAGGAAGAGTGTGTGTGAAAAATACACGAATTTATCAATTTTCTTCTTTAGTCCTTTATTCTTAATCATAATTAAATACCTCAGAATATGTTTAAATAAATGATTAGAATATCTATAATACCTTTTATTTTATTGTAGTAAAGGTAGTACACTCTTAAAGTATGAAATTAAATGAAAATAGGGAAACTGATGATTGGGGACTGCAGTGGCAGGCAGGCACTCCAACTTAACCTACTTAACCATATATATATATATATATATATATATATACCGTAAATTCTCT